AATTCACTGTAAGGAAGCTGCATTGTTATTTACTGACACTTTAATGGTTCTTTCCAAAGCAATTATTCAGTTAAGGGAGGCCCATGAGGGCCAGATAAATACTGTAGCTGAGTGAAATATTTATGAGCTCATTTAACCTTCTTAAAACACAATTCCTAAAGAACAGCAGCAAATGGAAATTCCTGAAAACTGATTTTGTTTTAATGAAAGATTGCACACTTTAATTTTTGATCTACAATTTACAAGCAAGACTAAACATTGTTTTAAAGGACTGTGTTGGACAATTTTTGAACTTTTGTCATTAAAATGCATCTAATACTGTTCTTGTTTTCAAATTTAAAGGTTGGATGTATAAACTAGCAGTCGACTCGTTTATATCTAACAAAAACTATTAAAAAAACCAATGAGTGTGGGATAAAACCACTGACTTTATTTAAAGTAATCCAAGCACCTTTTATAAAAATGTAGTGAACATGTGAAATATAGAAACKATTCATTCAGGTCTTTGTGCAAACTAAAGCATATAAAAGATTTATGATTTCTGTTCTATACTTTTTTCAAAATATGTCTTATAATCAAAGAAACTTTTGACTGAGAAAATGAAGACACAATCAACATTATGTGTTTGTTCAGTAGAAATCTTTTCTTAAACGAAGCGTTTAAGAGCTTGTAAGTTATAGTGGCTTAGATGCCAAAACACAAAAATATGCCCAGTCCCGCTCGATTTCAGTATCAGGAGAAGTGGCTCCCATTAAATCCAAGATCCTGGAAGCAGAACAAGCAGAAAAACAAGATTTAGCAAGAGTCCTTTATGATTAAATAATCAATATGATGACAAGAACCAAAGTGTTTGGATAACCTTTTCTGAATACTGGCCAACAGATCTTCAGCTCCCTGAGGGTCTTTTCTCTCATAGGTTTGGAACATGGACCAGGTTCTGATGAAACCAATCAAGTTCCTCACAGAGAGCAAGGTTTTTGTCTTGAATTCATCAATCCTGTTGGATCAAAATTGGATAAACAAAGGTTTTTTTTTGAAAGGCCAAATTATTGTACGTCTAGAAGGGGGAAAAAATGTGCCATAAAAAGTGAAATGTGATGAGATCAGAAGATCAGACCTGGACCATCCAGACCTTTAAACTGAAAGTGAATGTAACATTTCAACGGCATTGGAATAATGTTAGAAGCACGATCACCTCTGTTTGTCTGGATATGGGATGGCAGAGAACATATCCTGCAGTTTATTTTCAGACACAGCGACCGGGTTGGTTGTGTACGGCTGCAGCACCTGTTTCACCTGAGGACAGGGACAGAAGTGGTCAAATAGGATTCTATACATTTCAAAACTACGAGCCTCGATATATTTTTTTATTATTATGAGAATTAAAGTCATAATCTTAGCTGACATGTCCATTTTCTGTTATTTTTACTCATTTCCTCRTCATTCTTCTCACACCTGCTGTGGACAGTCATGTGTGCGATGATGGTTMATTATAAAAAAGAAAGTGACATTTTACCTCCCTAAAGTCTGTTAAGGGTTAACTSAAAGCATTTTACAACAGAACACTGTGGACTTTGTTCTGGCTTGTCTATTTGCTCACTATGACAGGGCATTATCTTACATGTATCAAGTTATTTGTATTGTTCCTTTTATAGCAAGAACATGTGAAACATATYGTTTAAGTTTCTTTAAGTGAGTCAGTGAAAACTACAACTATAAAAATAGTTGACATACATGCTTATCTCCTAACTCCAATAAACCCACTGCTGATGTACAAGTGAAAGCAAAGGAATGCTTTAAAAAAACAGTTTACAGACAATTCAGTCTATCTTGTCTTGAATGTATAACCTGCTGCCTTTCATGAGTCGTGAGTTTTAGACTAAGATCTTGCATTAAGAAATGACAAAAAATTCTAGTTATTCTGGTCTAACTTTAAAAAAATCAATAATAAAAAACAGTTATGAGAGATTGCATGGTGTCATACCCAGTGTTGGGTTGTGAATGACTCTCAGCTACAAGCACGTCACATTTTAGGATGAAACATGGAAAACTGCTTGAGTTATCGCTGTTTTTGGCTGTGATGGCCATCGTCAATCCGATTGACCTTAAAAGTTAGATCAGTTGTGGATCAACACAAACAAAAGCATCATTATTTACTCAGAGGTTCATGCAACATTTCTGCAACAATTCACCTGAGATAAATATAAAGATATTTTGGTCAAATCAGGATGTCAAAACATTTACATGCATGTGTAGCAGGACATCAAATACATGATGGCATAAGAAGGTTTAATTGGGTTTCAGCTTAAAAACTGAGGTAAAGATGAATACATGTACAAAGTGTGTATAGGATGTTTATTATTGCCTTCAAGGGATGCATGGTTAGTTGTAACATTAGACTTTATTTAATAAACATATGTTTTAACTGTAAAATAAAGACTAAAAATACTGTAGGATGTTTAGTTTTTATCATTTTTAAACTAAAAGTTAAAAAATATATTACACAGAAGGGGCTATTTTATTTACACGCAAAGCATTTTGGGTAAATGATGACGTGGATAGGTCCTCGGTGCAAGGCTGCTAGCGAGCTATATCCACCCTGAAGGTTAATATTGGACAATATCTGATGATCGACTCTTTTAACTGAAACCAGAGAGCGTTGACAGAGAGGAGAAGGTAGAAATGACTCAGCCTGGAACTGAAAATATGGATGGAGGACAACARAGCTGCTTCATGGAAGAAGAACCTCAGCTTAGCCTGTTAGCTTTAGCATTAGCCCCAATGCTATTACATATGTATTAGCTCAGCGCTACAGATTCTCCTCTCATCACTGAGGTCCTCCATCCACATGACAGAGAGGGGAACGCAAAAATGACTCAGTCTGCAACTGAAAATATGGATGGAGGACCTCAGATTAGCTTGTTTGTCGCGCTAGCACCGAGCTAATACATATAAGGCAACATAACGTCGGGGCTAATGCTAAAGCTAACAAGCTAAGCTGAGGTTCTTCTTCCATGAAGCAGCTCTGTTGTCCTCCATCCATATTTTCAGTTCCAGGCTGAGTCATTTCTACCTTCTCCTCTCTGTCAACGCTCTCTGGTTTCATTTAAAAGAGTCGATCATCAGATATTGTCCAAGATTAACCTTCAGGGTGGATATAGCTCGCTAGCAGCCTCGCACCGAGGACCTATCCACGTCATCATTTACCCAGAATGCTTTGAAATGGCTCTGTCCGTGTTAAAATATATTTTTACAAATTTACAAAACTAAACAGCCTACAGTATTTTTACAGTCTTTATTTGACAGTTAAAATGTATATTTATCAAATAAAGTCTAATGTTACAACTAATCGGGGATCCCTTTCGCACTAAAGGAGGTTTTCCAGATGTGCTGCAGTCCTGCCACGTTCCTAAAAGACTGGAGCGATTAGAGGGGTCGTGCTTTTACTGCGTAACTGCGTTCTGGTTACACCCACCTCCTGATAGATCTGGTTGATTCCATCTCCACAGTCCTTGTAGATAAACCTGAGGTTGGTTTCACTGAAACCTAGCAGAGCTATGCAGCCCCCGGGTTTCAAGACCCGGTTCGCTTCGGGCAAGAACTTAGACTGGTCAAACCAGTGGGCCGCTGAAGCTGCCGTCAGCAAGTCTACGGTGCCGTCTTCAAAAGGAAGGTCCTCTGCTGAGCCCTGACTGCAAATTCAACACATAAAAGTTATTATTTTCCACTTTTAAGCCATGCAATTATAAAACATTCCAATATAGCAATAATAAATGCATAAAATACATCCTTTGTCCTCCAACACTTACCGGTAGGTGATGTTGGGCTCTCCTGGCACAACTCTGGCCTCCTCCAGCTGGTTCTCGCTGACGTCCATGCCAACCACTTCCTTAAAGTGTGGCGCCAGCAGCCGAGTGAACTGACCCGTCCCACAGCCCAGATCTACAGCGAGCTCATGAGGCGGTGCTTTCTGTGGGCAGAAACAGATGTTTTGTCCCGTCAGAACCAAAGTAAAACTCTAAACAAAACCCAACAACACTCTGATCATTTCTCTACCTTTGAGTCCAGGTACTGAACGATTGCATCCTTGAGCTCAACCGGAGGGGCGAAACGATACTGCTGGTAGATGGAGGCGTGTTTCTTCCCTTCAAACAGCCTGTATGCCATTGAGAGGTTCGACTTGTTGGTTTGTTCTGCTGTCAGCTGTGACTGTACGACCTCTCCCTCGAAGCAGCCTGTGGAGATCGAAGTTCGACTTTCCTCTCCCTCAGTTTGCTTTTGCTCCTTCGTTTTAATCAGACTWCTTTCCAATCCAGTTAACTTGCAGTTTTCTGTCCAAACACACGTACTCTTCCTCTCTGCAGCCTTGCTGGCCTGTAACTTCACCACTTCCTGTAGGTAAAAACACACTCAAGTAGAGAGAAAGTTGGTGAGTTGAACAAGTAGCTGCAGTGAATCAAGCTGCAGTAAAAAAAAAACAAAAAAAAACCTCACATTTCTGAAGAAAGAGACGCACAGATGATAGTAAAAGTGACTGGATGTAGTTCCTTATGAGCTGAAAGCTGCCTGTGATGTCAGCGGTCCTGTTCAGTCAGCAGTGGATTTGTCATCAGTGCGTCACAGAGGCAGGGCTTCCCATTTAACCCTTTCATGACACTCCTGCACTCTGCTTTTTATTGTCAATCAGGTGGTTTATACTCACCTGTGCATCAGGTGACAATGCAATGTAAAAGTGTGAATTACTCCTTTGTTTTTGATCTTTTTAGTTAAAGAAATTAAAACATTTGTTTTATTATATGATGGTTTAACACTAAGTGATGTACCATCCTCAGGTTAAACTGCTTGTTGTAGTTCTGCAATATTTATATTTTAGACTATAATTGTATAAAACTATCATACCTGGAAGGAATACACTGCAAAAACTGTCCATCTTACCAAGTTTTAAAATCTTATATCAGCCAAAAAATCTTTTTGATCTCGTTTTAAGACTGATTTACTAAACAAGAACTGATTGTGTAAGAATAATCATCTTGTTTTCAGAATGTGTAAGAGTATTTGTCTTGTTAGCCGGAAAATTTGACTCAAGTTAAGTCAAAGATTTTTGCCAGTGGAGTAAGAAAATTTTACTTTGTGAGGTTCTTGAAATAAGAAAACATATTGAGTCAAATCAAATATTTCAAGAATCTTACAAGTAAAATTTTCTTACTCCATTGACAGAAATTTTTGACTTAATTTGAGTCAAATTTTCAGGCTAACAAGACAAATAATCTTACACATTCTGAAAACAAGATTATTATTCTTACATTATCAGTTCTTGTTTAGTAAATCAGTCTCAAAACAAGATCAAAAATATTTTTTGGCTGATAAGATTTTAAAACTTGGTTAGATGGACATTTTTTGCTGTGAAAAATTGCATTTTTTCAAAATATAATGAATAAAAAAGCCTTATCAATGTATCATTTGAATGAACTGTCTGAAATATAACCATAAAACAAAATTTTGAAGCACTTTTTTGAGAAGTAGCAACAAAAAAAACTGATTTTGAGGAAAAACACCTTAAAATTTTGAGATTTTCCCTGTGAGTTAGCAAAGTCTTGTTTCTTTAGCTGGTAAATCTCAATATTAAAATATAATTTGAGGTTTCCTCTTTATAAAGACATCAAATATTCCTCATTAAAATGACAAAATTAGGATTCAGACCAAATATTTATGTATTATTGTAACCAACAAGACAAATTAATTCATATTTATGGATTTAATTATGATATCAGGATGATCCAGGTATCAATATGTTGCTTTTAAAGCCAAGAATCTGAAAGTGTAATTAGGTCATTTTGAGCAAATTTGACTTAATTTGATTCGATTTGATGGGTCACAAATGAGTAACAGCACAAATGATTGTGCAGGCAGCAGGTGTGCAAACACTTTGTGATTTTTGTGCTGGTTATAGAGTCTGACAGCTGCAGGGAGGAAGGATCTGCAACAAGGGAAATGTTAAAAATGTAAATGTTTTGGTAATAAATGTCTTTTTATTTTATTTTATTTTTTAGGTGAGAAGCCGCACAAGTGTAGCCTGTGTGATTTCAGGTGCCGAGACGAGTCCTACCTGTCCAAACACATGCTCACTCAAAGAGAAAAACTTTGTGTGCTGAATGTGGATGTGTCACCAGATGGAAGCATTACCTCACCGTTCATATGAGGAAACATGCAGGAGACCTCAGGTACGAAACATGTCCTCCCCAGCGATGATGCAGCTTCATCGTGTGGTTAATGACTGAACTGTTCCCTCCTCTYCCAGGTRTTCCTGTGATCAGTGCTCCCACCGCTGCCACCGTATGGACCAGCTGAAGAGCCACAAGCTGCGGCACCAAACCAAGYCCCTCATGTGTGAGGTCTGCGCGTACACCACCAGCTACAGACGAGCCCTGCAGAACCACGAGAACTGCAAACACACCAAGCTGAAGGAGTTCTGCTTTTGTTTCTTGTCATCTTGATGAGTCTTTATTTTCTGGTCTCCCTCAGTTCTCTCACTCGTCTACAACTAAAACTAAACCTGTAAATATAACGACACATCACTCCGGTTTTGTCCTTTTTGCATTGGCTCCCTGTGGTTTTTAGAATTGATTTTAAAATTTTATYATGCTTTCTTATCTATCTGAGCTTCTTACCCCATATATACCATCCCATCATCTCAGATCCTTAACTAAACTATATTTCCACTCCCAGAGTTCGACTGGTGACAGGAGGAAGAAGGGCTTTTATTGTTGGAGCTCCCAGTTTTGTCCCACTAAATATAAAACAGGCCACCTATTGTCTTCTTTTAAATCATTACTTAAAACTTACTTTTATATTAAGGCTTTTAATATTAGAATTTCTTTTGTATTTTTATTATTTCATTATTAAAGTCTTACCTTTTTAGACATTTTAACTGATTTTGTATACATTTTGTGTTTCATGTTGTGTATTTTATGAGGTTTTAATTGATTTTTGAATGCAAAGCACATTAACATTTATTTAAAAAGGTACAAGTAAAGTTGAAAGGAAATGTTGCATTGTTTTGCTACCAACGCCATACTATTTCCCTCTACACAAGTATACATTTGTAAATGTTCTTATCTTTTTAAAAGTTTTTGTGATTTTTTGAAATAAAATTCATTTAAGCCTGTAATGTTACAAAAGGTTTTGTGTTATTTTAATGTCCAGTTTATGGCGGGAAGTTATCCAAGCAGTAACCATTAAACATGATTGTTCATTGTTTGTTTGTTACATGTTTGAGTATAATTTCTGTTTTCTCCCTTCCCTTTCTTGACCCTTTGCTAAAAGGAACCRTGTTTTGTTGTTTTGTTGGCCAGGTTGGCCCTCAGATGGAGCAAAGTGTGTTAATGGCTCCTGGGGGACGGTGATAATGACCTATTGACCATTTCCAAACGAKGCAGCCAGCATGATGCCGTCCCACGGGCTTTAATTAAGTCAGAAAATATCAGAGGAGTTCAGCTGGCCATACAGGAGTTAGAAACATATTTTAATCCTGTACACAGAGACTATAGGTTGCAAAACTTTTGGCTTATTGTGTAAATGTTTCATCAGCTGGAGAGGAAGCGGTGGACWTTAGGAGGAGCTGAGGGACTTCAGGACGTCATTACATCATTCTTAATCTGTTTTTATGTGTTTAAACTGTAATAACATCCTAAATGCTGAATTAAATAATACATACTTCAGCAAATATAACATTTTGATAAATAAAAGTTGAAATTCTCTTTTCCAAAATGGTGACGAGAGACACTGGATATGTAAAAAAAATATTTGGATCTTACCTCAACTGGACAACTGTCACATTTAYATATACAGTATTTATGTGTCAGCAATATTTGCTGAGAAAATACAACAAACATTAGTTTTAACATTTAAAACGATATTTGGGACAGAGGTACACAAGTAGAAAGGGACTGAAAAGAAACAGGGAGTATAACTTAATTAATAAATGAAAACATGTGCTGATTGGGAATGGGAAACCAGGTTGATTAGGAGCTGAAAGGGGAGGAGGGGAGGACCTCAGGTGGGTAATACTGGTGGAGGGCCGCAGCCCTGCATGTTTTACTTGTTTCTCTGCTCCAACACACCTGGTTTGAATGAATGGGTGATTATCAGGCTTCTGCAGAACTTGGAGCAGGTAATTCAGTGACTGAATCAGGTGTGTTGTAGCAGGGAAAAAAGTAAAACATGAAGGGTTGCAGCYCTGCTGCTTTTGTTTTATGTAAAAAAGCTCCTAAACTGGTGTAACCTTCAGAATGTGAACTTAGGCTTCTTGATTAGTTGAGTTTACTACAGTCAGCCATGATACCTGAAAAACCAATAAAATAAGTTTTATATGTTATACACACCTTCCGTACATCTATGGCCTTGTATGTTTGTGTTATTTTAAATTTTACTACCTCTAATTTTAAACCTTTACCTTTTAACAACAATCACAAAAGACGATTTTGATTCATGTTTTTATTTTTCAAGGGTTTAAAAGTTCTGTTATTGCAGCTACATCCTTCATCTGCCAGCAGGAGGCGCTAAAGCACCAGCTGCACCCCTGACGGTCATTATTTAGGAATCTAATTCTGTTTATTAAAAAATCAAAGTTATTTAAATATGTGACAGGTGCATCAACAGGTGAGCTAACAGGTGACACAATCTGTGTGAACAGACTCACTTTGGCTTCAGTAAAGTAAAGTCTTACTTGTCTCTTGTGGAAATTACCTTCAAAATTGAAAAGTTGTTTCAGCAATGAGGCTCCAGTGTTTGTTGACAGGATCAGTTATCACAAAGAAAGACATTAAGTTACAGTTTTTATTGAATCAACAGGTTTTTTTTGACACACACAAGGCTTTGTACATGATCCTGCCTGTTGTTGCCTTCATGCTATTCCCTTTTTTGGTCTCAAAAGTWAATAGCCTCAATTTTCAGGCCCAACTTGATCAGATGGAATCTGAGATAATCTGCAAACTRGGAGAACTGGTCTTTGTGGAAGAGGGGATTAACATCAGAGCTCTTGGAGGATAATATTAACTTAACTTTTGATCAAATGATGGAGCACAATTCTGTTAAACAAAAATATTGATATTTGCTCGGGTTTCCTGCCAGGGTTTGTACCTTTATCCCACAGTAAAATTCAAGCACTTTTCAATCATTTTCAAGGTAAATTATCAAACAGTCTGTATCTGTGTGCACCTTTCTCCATTGAGCTTTATAACCATGGCACACAGCGTTCCCTATGTGAAAGGAACCTATCACCAATCTAAATTACTGTGCAACCAATTAAAATTCTGCGAGTTATAGTATTAAAATGAAATGGCACATGGAGGACATCAGAAACACAGTGAGCATGACAAAACAGCTACTTTTGGTGTCAGCTAACGCTGGACCGCTGACCTAGCAGCTGGTCTTTATCAGGTGATCTCCACAAGCCGGTATTATGA